AAGTAATTACGTTCACTTAGCGAGTTTTGAAAGCATGGCCCCAGATCTGCTAGACCGCGGGGTTCGAGTCTTGGGAGTGGCGCGTCGTTCATCCACCAGATTGTAGAATGTAGATAAGAGATGAGTGTAGAATAATCTTTGAACTGAACTTCCCGCTGTTTAGAAATATCGATTGCATTGCTGTACAGGGTATATATAGGTACACATCTACAGGACAGTATGTCTTCTATGTCTGTAAATGCTCGAGGTTGCATAGACTGTTAAAGCCCTTAATTGTCAATTCATACAGCCGAAAGCTAATAATATCGACGTGTAATTTTTCGTCCATTTTCCAATGCTTTGGTATATATCGTTTAGGCAACGTTCATCATAGCAGAGATTACGTAACACTGTTATTGTTCGGTTCACAATTAGTTGATTATCAATAACTTCTTGCACTATTTCTTCGGTTGTGAGGGAAAAATGTTATTTCTACGGATAATAATGTTATCATTATTACTCACGAATCTGAATTTTCTATGAAGTATGCTCTTTGTATTCAGCGAGTTACAAAAAACGGGCATTGAAAATGCATCACATATAAATTCGATTGTCCTTCCCTTCCATTCATTGCGAAGGAACGGGAGGCGATTGTTTTCATATTGTAAGACTCGGCCAGAGCTGCCCTGGCTTCGGCGACGTACCCCAAACGAACCGCTCAGTGGCCGCCACAGTCGGGACCAGACTCTCGTAGCCATGGTTGAACTAGTAAAAGGTTGACCCATCAGAAGCCCATTTTTTGCGGATGTAGTTCGTTGTTCGCCTGTGACATCATGATCTCAGTGACGTCACGGGCATTAACCAACCACCGAAATGCGATCAAACCAGTCGACCAATCCGTCATGGGAATGACTTTTTTTACGTTTCTCGATCTACGTGACGTAACAAGAAAGCTGAACTGAAAGACGGAACTTCTCGTGGGTCAACCTTATATAATTCAACCAGGCTCGTAGCTGTCTGACTTGGGATCGGAAATGTGACAAAATAGCGGATATACTCATAGAAAAACTGATTTCCGCGTTTCCTAATTCCTACGCATTCCTTACTTAGGAGTCGCGCCTGGCCCTAAATATTGTTCGGGGTACTGTGCTGCATCAACTGTCCCGTAGAACGCTGCATCAACTGTCCCGTAGAACGCTGCATCAACTGTCCCGTAGAACGCTGCATCAACTGTCCCGTAGAACGCTGCATCAACTGTCCCGTAGAACGCTGCATCAACTGTCCCGTAGAACGCTGCATCAACTGTCCCGTAGAACGCTGCATCAACTGTCCCGTAGAACGCTGCATCAACTGTCCCGTAGGACGCTGCATCAACTGTCCCGTAGAACGCTGCATCAACTGTCCCGTAGGACGCTGCATCAACTGTCCCGTAGAACGCTGCATCAACTGCTCCGTACTGCGCTGCATCAGTCACCTGATTGGTCATTGTGAGTGAACGTCCATTTCACCTCACGCGGGCAGATCAAATTCAGATCTGATATCCTGCACTTCCAGGAGCCTAACACAAGGCGCTACGAAGAGGTGAGGCTCTGGCCAGACGTGCACCGATCTTTATCGTAACGAACGATAAGAAGCTGCGATAGCGGAACAGTTACTGTCACACCAATTTCGTTAACAGCCTTGATGAAGATAAGCAATCTTATTCCCAAACGGCAATGTTGGAACCAAGCTAAGATTAATGTAGCACAGACCAAGTATTACATAGGCTAAGTTAGGCGATGGTGTAAATCTGATGAGTGTGTACCGAGTCGAACTAAAAACATTTGTGCTAACTACTACGGCAGCGAACCAAAACCTAAACATTACTAAAACATAAATTAATAACGCACAATAATATATGCCGAGGAGAGAAATATCAGTTAAAACATCGTGTAAGATTGGTGGTGGCGACATTCAGGCATCGCTTGCGACAATCGAAGAGGCATCCTTGTTAGAACCTGCGACGAGCACCTCTAGTTATACTAAATATTTAGTACCTCACAAACATTCAGTACCTCACAAGTATTTAGTACCTCACAAATATTTAGCACCTCACAAGTATTTAGTACCTCACAAATATTTAGTACCTCACAAGTGCACATAATATTGCAAGATTTACGATGAGAAATTGGCAGTGCCAAAATTGCCAAGTACGAAGAAGCATGGTGGAGCTACAATACAATAGTACTAATTTCATATTTCTCGATAACTTCTACGTCGAAAATACAGTGGGTGCAAAAGCATCCGACACAAAGGAAAAACTTTATTTAATTAAAGCTTATTAACCAAAATAACATAAACAAAAACTATTCATGTGTAAATTTACATGGCAAATACAAATGTCACATGTAAACAACAATATCATTAATTGTTGACTAGATAATTGCCATTTTGTAAAAGTCAAGGTTCAAAAAATTTCTAACACACCTTAAAATTTTTTTTTTTTTGATTCGCCAATAATTTTTCAGCCATTATTTTCGGAGGAATGTTCTAGAATCAGAAAACGTTGGAATATTCTAGAATGCAAAAAACGTCAGACATCTTTCTAACTGCAATCATTCATTACCTAACATCGTCATTAGAAGGTGACCTAAATTTTACGCTCTTCAACAATGCATAAAACTGCAGAATTGTCTGAATCAACTAAAAATCTATTATTCAGCTACATAGAGATGGTATTGATATATAGAAAATTAAATATCCCGGTTAAATATCCCAATTTCGACAGTTGGTGATACTGTTCGGAGATGGAAATCATTCATCTTTCGACTGCATGGGCTGCCTCGTTCAGGGGGTCCCCCAAAATATTCTAACCGTACAGCTAGGAATTTACTTAGAAAAGTACAAAATAATCCTCGACTTTATCGCTCCGAACTGCAAAAAGACTTGCAGTAAAGTGTTTGCAGTAATGCAATCAGGACAGTTCTTCGAGAGAGAGGATTACGCTCTCGGTCGCCAAGAAAAACCCTCTCTTGAAGGAAATTCACGTAAAGAACTGCTGAAACTTTGCTAAAAAACACATGAGTAAACCTACTAGCTTTCGGGATAAAATATTATGGTCAGATGAGACTAAAAATGATTTTCTTTCATCGGAACTGTGACAGTCGTATTTGGAGACAGAAAAACTCTGCGTTTCACCCGAAGAATACACTGTTAGAAAAATTACCGTTAACGGTATTACCGGCGTTCAGTGGCCGGTCGGCACGTAACAAGAAACATCATGTCACCGTTTTTATTCTAATTTAACACTAGAAATCCGTGAAACATCTCATATAAACGGCGAAACAGTTTATTTTCACGGGGCGACCGGCCACTAGAATGCCAGTGGGGCCGTTTTTTCACCGTTTTTTCTAACAGTGTACCGTCCCAACAGTGAAGTTTGGAGGTGGCAGCATGATTTGAAATTGTTTTCTTTTCTGCAGGCCCTGGGGAATTGGAAATCATATATGAACTCCGATATGTATCTGGGCATTCTTGAGAGATGTCTCGTTAAGTCAGCCGAAAAATTGAGCCGTAATCGAGGCTGGATATTCCAACAAGACAATGACCCTGAGCACACGGCTAGATCAACTCTTGCACGGTTTCAGGAGAGGGACAAAGTAATTGCAATGGCCAAGCCAATCACCGGGGGCCATACTTTCAAAACTCGCTAAGTGAACGTGAGTGCTTACGCCCTATTTTCTTGTCTATGATAGGTGGATTTTGCTTGAAAGGACGTCAATGATTGGCTGATGAACTTACGATCTCTTAACTTTTTTTTAAAGTATAGGCCCTGACCTCAATCCGATCTGTTGCGGGAACTGAGAGTGAGGGTACAGGAGAGAGATCCAAGGAATCTTATCCAATTGGAAGAAATATGCCGGTAAGTGTGGACTAAAATTCCTATTAGCATACGTGTTAATCTTGTGAACAAGCATTTCAATCGGTTAGTAGCAGTTTTGGGTGCTAAAGGGCACATGTCGAAGTGTTGAGTATATTTGTTTACAATGTGATGGATACTTTTTTGAACCATAACCTTTGCAAAATTGCAATTATCAAGTCAACATTTAATAATATTGTTGTTTTGATATGATATTTGTATTTCCCATTTAAATTTACATTAAAATAGTGTTTGTTTATGTTATTTTGTTGAATAATCTTTACTCAAATAAAAATTTTCCTTTGTGTCTGATACTTTTTACACCCTCTGCATATAGCCATATTTGGCATATTTATAATATCAAGTATTCTGCTATGCCCAGTGCAGCGCATCAAAATAATCGTTAAAAAGCTTATCAACTGAACACGTAGCGTCGCTATGATGAGTGTACCATCTTCTTCAATTCTCCAAGGCAAGACCGCTAAGCCTTCAGAACGGACAAGTGAACGGCCGTAATTTATGCGTCGACGACGCATGCTTTGAGAAACCATAATGCCCCGGCTACATACCTCGGCAACATACCCTCGCTACCTACCCAGGCAACATACCCCAGCTACATACCTTGGCCTTCACATTTGGTGTCCCTAATATAGCGCGCAAGGTAGCGGGTGTCCTCCTTGGCTAACGACGCGCACCATCGGTGGACCTTTTCAGCGCGACGTACTACGCGCTGACTGGGGGTACGGCCACTCACTGGGGCTGTACGGGGAGTGGGGCCACTCACTGGGGCTGTACGGGAAGTGGGGTCACTCACTGGGGCTGTACGGGAAGTGGGGTCACTCACTGGGGCTGTAAGGGCAGGGGTAGCAACTCACTGGGGCTGTAAGAGCAGGGGTAGCAACTCACTGGGGCTGTAAGGGCAGGGGTAGCCACTCACTGGGGCTGTAAGAGGAGGGGTAGCCACTCACTGGGGCTGTAAGAGGAAGGGTAGCCACTCACTGGGGCTGTAAGAGGAAGGGTAGCCACTCACTGGGGCTGTAAGAGCAGGGGTAGCCACTCACTGGGGCTGTAAGAGGAAGGGTAGCCACTCACTGGGGCTGTAAGAGCAGGGGTAGCCACTCACTGGGGCTGTAGGCGAAGTCCCGCAGGTCAGGTTGTAGCTGCACGAGCCCAGGCTGCACCAGGTCGGAGTTGCCGGTCCGCGCTGCACAACAAACGACATAACGTTAGGCCAGCATAGACATAACGACATAACGTCAGGCCAGCATAGACATAACGACATAATGCCCCACGTGATGGGGTCATGAAGGCACAATGTCGTATATTCAAACATAAGCCACACACGCCACCCACCGATCTCCCTGGGGTTGGGGAAGGCGTATTGCTCAGGCGCGTTCATGAGGCTCGTGAAGAGTGTGTCTGAGAGGTCCATGTAGGAGTCGATGTCGTCGAAGGAACAGCCGCCGCCACCCTGCAGCCAGTCTATGTCCTCGAACGTCGCCAGCAACTGCGGCAAACACGTGAGATAAATGCAACATCTTGTGATAACCTGTCACCAATCAGGGCCACGACATCTTGTAATGGTTTAGGTTACATCTGTTGTTGAATTAATACCAGTATAAGTTTACTAGCGATTTGAGTTGACAAATCATTGAAGTGATGATATAGTATAGGCTATATCTGAAGTAAGTGTACGAGGGTGAGTCAGACACGCAATGAAAGGCAGCTCCGACACGCTATGTTGCTCGGGTCAACACTGGCTGTAATGAGACACGCAATGAACGGCAGCGAAATCTGTATGTAAAAATGTAGGAATTTTAGAGAAATATTAGAAGCACAGTTAAATTTTTGGGTGCGTCGAGGGAAGATATTTCAGAACCCTGGTCATGGCACATCACAGGCAAACTAGGAAGAAATCAAGCCGTCGTAGGTTAGCAACGAATGTGGCAGGGAAAAGGCGACCAAAACCAACCGTCGCAGGGGTAGCCACAGGTGGCCGGAGAAAAGTAAGGTAGGACCAACCGTTGCAGGTCGGAAACTGGTGGACGGAGAAAAGTAAGGTAGGACCAACCGTTGCAGGTTGGAAACTGGTGGACGGAGAAAAGTAAGGAAGGACCAACCGTTGCCGGTTGGAAACTGGTGGCCGGAGAAAAGTAAGGAAGGATCAACCGTTGCAGGTTGGAAACTGGTGGACGGAGAAAAGTAAGGAAGGACCAACTGTTGCAGGTTGGAAACAGGTGGACGGAGAAAAGTAAGGAAGGACCAACTGTTGTCGGTTGAAAACAGGTGGACGGAGAAAAGTAAGGAAGGACCAACTGTTGTCGGTTGAAAACAGGTGGCAGGAGAAAAGTAAGGAAGGACCAACCGTTGCAGGTTGGAAACAGGTGGACGGAGAAGAGTAAGAATGGAATAGCTTAATTCAGACACAAGGCTGGCTTCAGCCCACACAACAGACTCGAGTTAGGCTCCCACCTTGATTTCCTTCTCGTCCAGCGACTTAGACTTTTCCCAGCAGCCGCTGAGGCACTGCAAACCATACAGGCCTTAGACATGACGCTGTCACATCAGACTCGAGTTAAGCTCCCACCTTGATTTCCTTCTCGTCCAGCGACTTAGACTTTTCCCAGCAGCCGCTGAGGCACTGCAAACCATACAGGCCTTAGACATGACGCTGCACACAACCATACAGGCCTTAGACATGACGCTGCACACAACCATACAGGCCTTAGACATGACGCTGCACACAACCATACAGGCCTTACACATGACGCTGCACACAACCATACATGCACACTATACAGGCCATACGAACGCGGCAGGATACCATGGCAACACAACAGCAGCGTGTGGGTGCTGTACACATTCTCATAAGCAGCATGTTGCTCACATCCATCTTGCACTATTGCTCACAAGCATTATACTGTTCACATCTTCGTGGAGAAAATTTTCCTTCTTTCCCAAAAATTGGTGTCTTTTTCAGTGATTGTCGACATTTCCTTTACGAGGATGAAATAACCCAGAACATTGGAAAGGGCAAGTGATGGATGCAGGACCATGGTAACTAAAACCTCAAGAATTATTATCTCACAGAAAGTACTAATTATCAATGTAAAGTTTGTAGGAGGCGCGCACGAGGCACAAGGCTGGGTTCAGCCCACACAAGTCAGAAGAAATATTTTGGTGAAAAGTAAAGCAGCGAGTTTTTGAACGTCATAAGTAAGCCAGCCGTATTTGGTAGGCTTAATAATCGGCGCTTAGTGGTGCAACTGGCACTGGCGCTTGCCCTTAGCGTTGTTATGGCACCAACGTATCAAAGCTCTGTTTCGTTCTCATATTATAAAGTTATAAGCGGTCTAACGATTCTCGTGATAACAACTTCAACAGTATCAGGACTATGAGCATTTCAAATTAGTTACAGAGCTAAAATGCCTGAAGCAAAACAGGATGAGTTGAAAAGAACTACAATTTCACGGTGCAGTGGCAAGACAGTCCAACGTATGGAGAGCTATTGCTGTCTCAACTGAATATTTTATAATAGAGTACATTATTACAATTGAATGTTCTTTACGCTCCCTTGCCACGATATTGTAATATATGCCATTATAGAAATAGAACACATAGAAGAATAGCTGCGGACACAATATGTGCAGTGACCGTAACCTACCATGACGGTTCACTTCACACAGAACACCACACACCACAACCTGCCATGACGGTTCACTTCACACAGAACACCACACACCACAACCTGCCATGACGGTTCACTTCACACAGAACACCACACACCACAACCTGCCATGACGGTTCACTTCACACAGAACACCACACACCACAACCTGCCATGACGGTTCACTTCACACAGAACACCACACACCACAACCTACCATGACGGTTCACTTCACACAGAACACCACACACCACAACCTACCATGACGGTTCACTTCACACAGAACACCACACACCACAACCTACCATGACGGTTCACTTCACACAGAACACCACACACCACAACCTACCATGACGGTTCACTTCACACAGAACACCACACACCACAACCTACCATGACGGTTCACTTCACACAGAACACCACACACCACAACCTACCATGACGGTTCACTTCACACAGAACACCACACACCACAACCTACCATGACGGTTCACTTCACACAGAACACCACACAC